AACAACCTCTGGGCTGATCTAAGTGAGGACATGGCTAACTCACAGATAGAACCCTGAAACAACCTCTGGGCTGATCTAAGTCAGAGCATTTCTAAATCAAAGATCGAAATTTAGCTTGTACAAGTGAAACCGGATGCTCGCAGATCTTTATCATTGATACGAACAGCCGCAGTTTTGGCATCATTTGCTGTCTTCCTGATAAAAAAATCCTCGTTTAGCAAAAGACAAAGGCAACCTTATTCTCGTGAATGATCAGAATCAGTCGGAAACTGAGCGGTTTAAATATCGCCCTGAATGCAGATAATCGATCGATAACTTGATTCGAGTTTTCCATGACACGTTCTGCAAGTGGTTTTATTACATCGACTGAAAAATAATATCTAGCAGTTATAAATGAAGACTAAGAGGTCTCAAAAGCACTTTTGATGGAATAATAGCACAGAAAACACCTCTTGGGCAGCTTAATTACTAGACAACACAATTATCTAAGTAGAAAGGATGAATAAAATTGAATTGATATGATACAATTTACTTATTTTTTTCTACTCTTTTCATCTTGCCGCAAAAACCGCACACAATAATTGGACTTGATGTACTTGGAGTCAGATTTAGGCCACTGGGGGAAAAAAATGGACTTGATGTACTTGGAGTCAGATTTAGGCCACTGGGGAAAAAAATTGGACTTGATGTACGTACTTGGAGTCAGATTTAGGCCACTGGGGAAAAATAGAATCGCCAACACGGGTATTCCTTAAAAGTCATCGCTTGACTGGGAATTCGATAACTAAGATTGGTACGGTCCCTTCATTTGCCTGTTAAGCAGGTGATTGGCATCGACAAATAACAAAACAAGACCCTGGTATATGTAAAGGATTGAGGGTCCTCAGACACTAAGTAATTCACAGGAAGAGAAGCTATTGAGGACGTATATGTTTTCATGTGTACTACCACTATCAAAGAGATCTTCTAGAGGATCATACGAATAACATCCCCTCCCCACACACACACACAATTTTTTGCAGCTGGTCAGCAAATAGGATTTTTCCATATAAATGAAAATGTCATGAGAGCAATCGCCCCTGACACATGTCATTGCTTCGTGACTATGTAAGTGATGCTTGTCCCTTAGTGTGTGCCGACTTAAATGTTCGTTCTGTTGTTGACCAGTCTATTGGTAATGATTTACAGGTATCCTGCCTTGTGAGCCGACCTAAATGTTCGTCTTGTTGTTGACCCTTCTACTGGTAATGATTTACAGGTATCCTCCCTTAGTGTGAGCCGGCCTAAATGTTCGTTCTGTTGTCGACCAGTCTACTGGTAATGATTTACAGGTATCTTCCAAACCAATATTCTTTCGTGCTCTCGTTATTTGTTGACCCTCTGAAGTTGACAGTGATTCGAATATTGCCTTCACAGTAGAATCCAAAATCGTTTTCTTCTGGCACGCTTCCAGTATTGGCTTTGTAAGGGCAGTCTGCGTATGCACTATCGATGTGCAAACCATAAAACCTATCCTTCTGCCAAAACTTAGCTGTAGTAGCCACACCCCTGTGGCCTCGGATGTTAACTAACTCTACGAGTTTACATACGCCTGCGCCTTCAAAACTCAAAATATCAGAATCCAACATCTTTCCTCGTATGTAATCAACATAGTCGACTCCAAAATTCCTAGGTTGCTCTCCAGTGCGTTGATTGGCTGGCGAGGAGTTTCATTGTCTTGAGTGACATTCTATAGGCTTCCCATCTTGGGACATCATCGTTAGCTTTAGAGTCCCCCCGGAATGAGCGAGAGCAGAAGGCAGGATTGTTTCTGTTCTTTAAGGCAAACGATAAGATAAGAGTCCACGAAGATCCTGGCTCTGATGTCATATCACACCAGACTTTGTAGGATTTATCATTCTCTCTGATAGTGTAGATGACTTTCAGTGTTGATCCTTGACGCAGATAGTCGAGACATGAACGAAACTTGTAGGACTGATGAAGAGAGATAAGTATGGTAACCCTTACCATCCACATAACTCGGAAAATTATACAGAAAAATTAAGGGAGATGAAGAAGAAAAGTTCTATATCTAATTAAGCATCTATAAGGAAGAAGCAAATAAAGAAAAGTAAAAAAACTAAGTAAAAAAGAAAATGAAACAAAAGAAACAAAAGCCTGTGTAGAGTAAGATGTCCAGGTACTAACCCTCCTGATTTCTCAATTGACACGGTTTTCTTTGTTATTCACAAGGCTWTATTTTTGTTATAACCCTCATTATAAATGCGAGGTCAATATGTGTTATTAGAGAGTTTTAGATTGACTTATTTTTCTCCCCGCAAACGGCAAACGTGACCACGTTTTCATAGTTTTCCTTTATTTTACTTTACCTTTTACAAACCTTCTCACCAAGCGCAAATACTCTTTTGTTTTTCTACTACTTGGACTTTTTTGCGATTCTKTTTCAGTAATTTAAAAGAATTTTTTACTGGTCAACTGACGTTTCACGTTTGCCGTGAACGTAAATCTAACACCCTAAAACTATATATTGACCTCATATTTATAGTGAGCATTTCAGTTCTATTCATCAGACCTGCTCATGCAGGTTATTATTATTTTTAAATATTTTTTTATTTATTTCTTTTTGTTATTTTTAAGTCAAATATATAAACATTTGATAGAAAACCTTCTCAATTGATAAATAAAATAGTTAATTACCTCGAACGTCGGCAATAAGCTATATACATCCCGAGGCCCTCGGGATGTATATGGCTTATTGCCTCCGTTCTCGGTAATTAACTCTTACCTCTTACTTAGACGGGCTTGACTCAATATAGACTATGCCCAAGTTTTTTTCCATTGGGCCAAGGTTATATGAGAATTAGCACAACAACAGCAGTGAAAAACAATGCACCGGATAGACTAAACTCATTAAAGTCAATTTTTCAACCGATTCCGTGCGTGGCAGAGATGCAAGAGATTAGCCGATATGGTCTGGGGGCCGGCTGGTCTCTCCCCTGATGCTTCGGCTAGAACATTTTCTTGCGTAATTCGTCCACGCAAGGGCAGAAGGATGTCTCAGGGGGTATGGCCCAGTGGAATCGAATTTATATTTTAAAATTAATCAATCTTCTCGTTTTTTCTTTTCCTTTCTTTAATTTTTTTTACGATTTTCTTTTTCTTTACTTGCTTTAAATTAAGTCAGAGAACTTCAGAAAGACTGTCTGATCACTTGAGAAAGACATTAGTCTTCTTCGCTTCCGTCGGTTTTAGTGTCGTCACGTGACGCGATCCCTCCCCACGACAAGCTTGGGAAGACATCAGCTTAAAACAAACTGATCTCTTGGGTTCCCTGAGAGAGTGAGCAGATTATAAAGACTAAGGGGTGTGTAACTATAAACTTATCATACTCTGAATGTTGCAGTAATGATAAAAAGGTAAATTATACACCGTGAAAAGATGAAAAAACTTACTGACGTTTCGGACGCTAGTCCTTCGTCGGAGTAAAAGAGAAAGAGGTGGTAGAAAGGAGTGTTTATATGATAGAATAAGACAAAAGAAACCAATGTGAATGTTGATAACAATACGAACACCAAAACCAATAAGTCTCAAAGTCTTATTAGACGAGTTGCTGCAAATAAGAAAAGAGTTGCTGCAACTTATCTAATCAGAGATCCTTGCGATGAGAAGATGCTGTACACCACCCTTATTACCCTGATATTGAATGAATATAATTACCTCAGTTCGTAGGTCGTAATAGTGTTGGTAGCGAGAATCAGAATCGTCTTGTCCAGGACTCGCTATTTTTCTGGTAGCGTTGTTCAGCTCACAAACATCCTCGACATCAGGCCCTTTTTCTTTGTAGTTGAACGAGAGGCACTGGGCATTAGCAGTGCAGTGGCGGCCGCAATCGACTGCAGATGTTAATCGATGTTTTTCAAATACGTGACGTCGCAAAACTTTTCCTAAGAGAAGATGTGGAAATCATTACTAACCGATCCAACAGATCTAACCCTGAAAAAACCCCTGGGCCGATCTAAGTCAGGGCATGGCTAACTCACAGATTGAACCCTGAAACAGCCTCTAGGCTGATCTAAGTCAGGGCATGGCTAACTCACAGATCAAACCCTGAAACAGCCTCTGGGCTGATCTAAGTCAGGGCACGGCTAACTCACAGATAGAACCCTGAAACAACCTCTGTGCTGATCTAAGTCAGGGCATGGCTAACTCACAGATAGAACCCTGAAACAACGTCTGGGCTGATCAAAGTCAGGGAAAGGGTAACTCACAGATCGAATTCGAAATAACAAAAACTACTCATTTGTGAAGTTTAGTCCATTACACCCCTTTGATTTCCCTAACATGAAAGTAAATTACCATAGTTACCTTGATCTACCCCAAACATTCCTTGTCTTTTTTCTTGCGATCGCTGAATAGCCTTAACCAAGACGATGCTTGTTACCAATAGCAACACCAAAGAACTAGGAGAATCCATGAAGCATATATGTTGACTCTACTGGTCGATCTTCTCAGTCAAAGTAGTCACAAGCTAGAGTGAGTAATGAAATATACCATGCACTTGTTATGAAAACTAGTACTTCAATGCAGTATAAAACCTTGATACTTTGACTAGTATTTTTTAAAGTTTTGATTTCGCTGAAACAGCTAAAACGGTTACTGTAAATCAATACTTTGGAGAACTGAAAAAAAACAAACAACAAAACAAAACAAACAAAACAAAACAAAACAAAAAATACAAAAAAATACAAATCACGATTCGAAGAAGCAACAGGACACTTGCATTATATCGTCATTTACTACCACTACCAGACTTCCTGGCACACCTTCTTTTGTTATGCTAATTGTCTTGCTAGTAAATACAATTTTAAAGAAAAAACTAAATTCGCGAAGCATTTTGGTAGTATTAGTAATAAAATGACGCCATCACAGCCTATTCCAATTAGTTTGAGAACAAGGAAAAATCCCGTCCAAAGGAATCGACAATTACAAAAAAACGAGTATTTTGAACGGGTTCTTACCTTATGAAGTTGTAAGAACGGATTTAGGGAAAGAAATTGAAATTCAGTCTTGTCTACCTGCTTTCTTTCAGCGGAAACTGCTCAATAAACTAAGAGGATCTCTCAGTAAACAACTAAAAATGCTCTTAGCAGGTGAATTATCACGCTTACACGTTACTGAACTTAATAACATGGCTCTTCTGGTTAAAAAGATGCTTCACTAAAAAGATGTTTCACTACTAGAAATTTATATCTACAAAAAAAAAAAAAAAAAAAAAAAAAAAAAAAAAAAAAAAAA